GCAGTGCTGGATGACTGTGAGGTAGCCGTTGTCTTGACAACGAGAAAACTGCTGTTTGCTAAACAAAGGGATGGTAATGTACTGATTTAATCTCCTTTCTGGCACAGAGGTGCTACATGTAAGCATCTTATTTTAGCTTCTGAGATGGCTCATATTATTGATCAGAATCTGAGAATCAAAAATCAAGAGGAGTAAAAAGAGGTAAGAATTTTTCTGTCTGTGTGTACGGATAGATACGGATAGACACACATACCTTGTGTCTGCCGGTTGTGGTTGGGGTTGGTCAGAGGACTCTTAGTTACCTGGCTACTCAGTTCTCCTTGGCCCACAGCACTGCTGACCTCAGAGTTAGGAGTGTGGTCTTAGTTGTCTTCTGGCCACATGAAGGGGTCATGATACACTATGGAGTTTCCTTTCAAAGGGTTCCAGCCTTTCTTGCTACAAGAATTCAATGTGATGTCTTTATTTTCGAATTGGAAAAGGGAGATTATGTTTTAAAGGAATCCCTCTCCCATGTAGAGGAGTCTTCAAAAAGTTCATGCATAAAATGTATGCTGAAAATACGATGCATGGGTTTCAAAATTTTCTTGCACCAGAATAAGCTTTAATCTCATTTTTTCACAAACTTTGCAAAGTCTCCCTTGCTTCCTCCCTCCCTGTGTTTCTCTCATGTACACACACAGTTATACCTGCTCTGTTTCTGTGGAGATCAGTTATGATCGGATCCTTTATATAGGATGATGTTTTGGACTCAGCTTCTGCCCCTACTATGGAGTAATACTGGCTTTTATCTGGCATGGCTGGGCTGGGCCCTAACAGGGTCTGTCCTGGCAGGACATTGTAGCGACTTACTCTCTCTGTGAGAGAGTAACTGTTGTTTTTCCCTGAGGTGTGGGGGTCCAGCTGGAGGTCATCCAGCTGCTCCCTGGTAGATTTGAGCTTATGTATCTGATTCTGGGGCCTGTTCTCTTAATACTATTTCATTAGTAAAATAATTGCAAGTAAATTGGAAAATGTAGGAAAGTATTCATAAGAAAATGAAAAATAACCCATAATCCTTTATAAATTATTTAATTTTATTTTTAATTTGCTATAGGGCATGTGTGCTCACCAGAGAGAGACAGGGAGATAGAGAAAGTAAAGTTGCCAAATCCAAGTCTCAAACTACATTTGGCCATGTCAGAGTCCAACGCCTTAACTACCGCTACCTGCTGGTTCCATGAGGCTTTTTCTTTTTTCTTTTTTGGAGAGGTTTTTGCTATAAGGGAGTGTGCACTCGCCTGACAGACAGAGACAGAGAGATAGAAAACGAGAAATCGCCCCCCCAGAGGGGATGGCCACACTGCAATCCCTTCTCCTCCATTCTCCTCTCGGGATCTTGGGCACGCATGCACACGTGCCCGGCGTGAGTTTAAGCCGCCGGGTCCGGGACACGAACTGCGGTCGACTACGTGGGAGTCCAGCCCCACAGCCATTACGCTAACTGCTCGTCTCTCCATGAGGCTTTTTCTAAGAGGCATTTCTCTATATACCTTGAAATCCCTTTTCATGTGTTCAAGCTTGAAGGAAGGAAACTATTAATATTACTTTTCAAAATAATAATTTGTCCCTATGATATTTTAGATAATTAATACTCTTCGCTGTCAGCATGAATTTTCCTGTTGGTGAGGATGTGGGATGTGCTTGGTTAAGGGGAAATTTCGTCTATGAAATTGAGTTTTAATAATCCTACTAAATAAGCACATCTGCAACTGGCTATAGCAGAAATGGTGTCTGGTGTTTGATGTGAGTATCTGTCTACATGTGGTGGTCTTCTATTCTCTTTTTGCTTAGAATGATGTATTAAAAAGGTACAACTTGTTAAATACTCACTTGTGAGTACACATGTGCAACTTGTAGTTGATTTCGTGTTCTCGTCTGTTCTGATTGGGGGCACCTCGTCTGTTTCCAGTTGTCCTAACTGTGTTGGTGGGGAGCTGTACACGTGGAGAATCCCGACCATGGTCATAAGTACCGTCTACATTTGGGTTTCTCTGGGGGTGAACCAATATCCCTGGAACCATAGAGAATTGAAATATGTTGAAATTTTTGTTCTCTTTTAAAAAATTATTTATTTAACTCCATTTGTTATTATAATTAGTATTATGGTTTTAATTTGACCAGAGAGAGGGAGAGAGGCCACCAGGTTCAGGACTGGAACCACAATTGGCCATGTGGGAATCCAGCGCCCTTAACCATCATGCCACCTGCTGGCCCCTGTTCCCTCTTTTAATAAAAATTAGAATTATTTCATTGACAACGATTGAATAGCTTATGATGATGTGTTATGTGCCTAAATCGAGTCATGATCACCACAGTCCGAGCTGCTAATGCAGCCACTGTCACAGCCTCCCTGCCAAACGTTAGTGCTCCCTCCGAAAAGATTTTCTTTTTTGTAGAGATTTTTGCCATAGAGCACATGCGTTTGCCAGAGAGACAGAAACAGAAAGCATGAAATCACCCCCAGGGGGTGGCCACATTATAGTTCGTTCTCCTTCAATCTCCTCTTAGGTTTTTGGACATGCACGCACACATGCCCAGTGTGAGTTTGAAGCCTCCAGGTCTGGCACTTGAGCTGCAGTCAGCCATGTTGGAGCCCAGTGATGTAACCATTGCCCCGCCATCAGGTCCCTCTCCTGAAACATTTTAAGTGAAATACTGCTAGTCCCTTTTTAGTTCTTGCTAAATAAAGCCACTCATTTGTCTGCAATTTAACCATATTTTTGGCTAAGGAAAATGGTATTTTAAGAGGCATAGGACAAATAGGTAAAGTAGAAATGCATTGATTAAGTACAAGAGCATTGTAAACTTAGCAAGCTGGGGCTAGCCTATGGCATGGTGGGTAAGTTGGCTGGACCCCACATGGTCAACTATATGGTTCTAGTCCTGAACCAGGTAGTGTACACAACAGATGGGTACATGTACATGCATGCCCTGAATCCTGGTAAGGAGGAATGGAGGAGATGGCTCTCACTGCTAAGACACTGTGCTGTGCCAGCGGGACCATGGGGGAAGCCCAAGACTGACTGTGGTCCGACCTGAAGGCCGGATGCAGGGCATGGTGGTGTATGCCTAGAAGCCCAGTGACTCCGTTATCTGGACAGGAGAGTCAAGAGCCCGAGACTGGTCAGGACAGCACAGTCAGACCCTGCCTGGGGGAGCAGGGCATGGTGGTGAGCTCCTGTGGTTCCAGCTACTCAGGACACTGAGGCAGGATGATGGCAACACCACAAGAGCTTGTTTTAAGGAAAAAATACAAGAAGACAGAGGAAAGACTTAAAGATCCTGTGCAGAAATGTACTTAATTATAGAAGAGCAGCTGGATTAAAGACTTAGAAACTAAATCATGGAGCCTGCAGGTGATGTGGTTACGGTACTGGACTTCCGCATGACCAACTGTGGTCCAAGTCCTAGACCCAGCAGCTTGAAAATCATGCCAGGCACATGTGTGTCCTTGCCCAAAATCCCAAGAGGAAAATAGAAGAGATGGGATTGCTACGTGGCCTTTCCCCCGTGGGGAGTAACTTCTCACTCTCCCCTCCTCCGCCCTGCCAGAGAATGTTTGTACTCTATGGCCAAAACCTTAAAAAAAATCTAAATCACATAAATACCATTTAAGGTAGAAGAATAAAACAGACATTTCAGCCCAGTAATTTTATTTGAGACTTCCTAGATTGACTTTTTTTCATATCGTTTTTTACCAGTAGTTTGTATACATGTACTCCTCTTCTTCCTTTTTTTTTTTTTTTAAAGCTTTTGGCCTTAGGGCATATGCGCTCCTGGAGAGAGACAGAAACAGTGAGGTGGAAGTCAGTGAGATGGAAAGTGAGACATGAGCCCCCAGAGGGATGGCCATGCTACAGTCCCTTCTCCATTCTCCTATCAGGGTCTTGGGCATGCACATGCGCCCACTGTGATTTTCAAGTCACTGGGTTGGGGACTTGAACTGCATTTGGCCGTGTGGGAGTCCAGCAGTGCAGCTGCTATGCTGTCTCTGCTCCCAGTTCTTTATACCGTTCCACTTTAGAATTTGTCTAGATAGAGATAAAACAAAGCTGTTCTGAATTTTGGTGGTTGCCCAAGATAAAGCCTAACTATTGAAAGAGATATTTTTCAGACTTGGAGCTTTACAGGTCTACCTTCCAGCAGGTGGGCCCGTGTACAGGGTGAATGAGTCAGTAATATTTGAATCATGTATGGCTGAATGGGTGTTTGCAGGGCTGGTTGGAAGGCTGTACTTGTGAGCGAGCTGATTCATATCTTGTATCATATGTGTTTAATAGAAAAAACATGGTTCGGGACCAGCAGTTAGCATAATGGCTGTGTTGCTGGACTCCCATGTAGTCGACCGCGGTTCAAGTCCCGGACCCGGTGGCTTAAAACTCATGCCGGGCGCGTGTGCGTGCGTGCCCAAGATCCCGAGAGGAGAATGGAGGAGAAGGGATTGCGGTGTGGCCATCCCCCCTGGGGGGTGATTTCTCGCTTTCTGTCTCTCTGTCTCTCTCTGTCTGTCTGGTGAGCGCATGCGCCCTATAGCAAAAACCTCTAAAAAAAAAAAAAAGAAAAAGAAAAAGAAAAAACATGTTTTTGGGGCCGGCAGGTGGCGTTATGGTTAAGGTGCTGGACTCATACATGACTGACTACAGTTAAAGTCCTGGACTTGGCGGCTCCCCGCCACCCCCCATCTGTGATAATAAATAAAATAAACAATTCTTTTTAAACAAAGAGAAGATAAAGTATGTTTTTATAATTTACAAGGTGTATGTTAGGACATTTAAATAGATTTTATTATAAACATTTTACTTATTTTAAACTAATAGCATTTTATAGGTTGGTCTTGTTAGTGAATACATTACCCCTTGGAACTGTTACTGTGATAGTAGGAGTTGGCCCGTTCTGAGATCTCATTGTGGGAAGAAATTCGAGAGTTGAAGTATGATATTATTTCTCTGCATTTTTAGGCGCTTGACGAGCCCCCCTATCTGACAGTGGGCACGGACGTGAGTGCCAAGTACCGAGGAGCCTTCTGTGAAGCCAAGATCAAGACAGCAAAAAGACTCGTCAAAGTCAAGGTGTGGTGTTTGCAAATGTTGCTAATCGTATTTTCTGTGTTTGATACTTAAACTCGTATTTGATGAGTGTGTCTGAGAATTCTTTTTCTGCTCAATGAGTTTCTAGGACAAATGGTTGTAAAAAATACCTCAAGAGGAAGTATTATTCATGATTTTCATTTTTTCCGTTGGAATGAAGTTAGATGACCACAATTGGAACTTTGAATGCGATTTCAGTACAGACTTGGTATTGGGCTGCTAGCATTTTAGAGCTGGAGAAGGACCTTAGAAATATTCTATTTCAGTTGTTTCATTTGATTATAAGAAAAATGAGGCTCATAAAGGACTAATGATTTCTCTAAGGCCATTGTAGCTGTGTTGGCAGAATTGGAACTCCTCTGGCTTAACAACTTTAGGAAACCGTCTTTCCACCTCCATTTTTATCCACGAAATGGGGGTGAGATTCGTGACTGGTACCTTTCGATACCAGTGGAATAAAATGCATGTGGTTGTTGATTCCATACCTTCTGCCTTTCTCAAGTTTCCTAAAGTATTTGAGTGTTTTCCTAAATAATGCAGCAATAGAAATGCAACTGACCACATTTTAAAAAAGAATTAATTTTATTTATTATTTATTTATAAATATTTTTAGATACTTTTTTGCCTTAGGTGCTTGCGCCAGAGAAAGAGAGAAGAGACAGAGGCAGTGAGAGGGAAAGCGAGACATCACTCCCTGGGGAGTGGCCATGCTATAATCCCTTCTCCATTCTCCTCCCAGGATCTTGGGTACAGCACATCCGTGCCTGGCATGTTTGATTTTTTTTTTTTTTTAAAGAACAGAGAGATTTTTGCTATAGGGTGTGTGAGCTCGCTGGAGAGACAGAGATAGAAAGCAGGAAGTAACCCCCCAGGGGGGATGGCCATGCAGCACTCCCTTCTGTATTCTCTCAGGATTTTGGGCCCGCATGCCCATGTGCCTGGGATGAGTTTTAAGCTACTGGGTCCAGATCTCAAACTGTGGCTGACTACTGGGAGTCCAGCTACGGAACCATTATGCCACCTGCTGGATCCACCTGGTGTGAGTTATAAGCCACCGGGTCCAGGACTCAAACCACATTCAATCATGTGGGAAGTCCAGTGGAAGTCCAGTGATGTAACTGCTACACCATTTCTTGGCCCCATTACTTATGTTTTAATTTGACCAAAGAGGGACAAAGGAAAAGTAAGAAAGCAGGCTGCCAGGTCTGGGACTTGAACTGAGGTCGGACATGTGGGAGTTCAGCACCCCAACCACCATGCCACCGACCAGCCCCATTTGCCCACATTTTAATAAATTACCAGTATTGAAAAATAAGGGACCGGGCGGGCCCTGTAGCCTAGTATTAAGAGAGCTGGGTGTCTCATGTGGCTGTCTGGATTCACATCTTAGCCCCAGTGACTTGAAAGGCGCGCTGCTGCATGTGTGTATGCATACCCCACACCCCGACAGGATAGAAAGGGGACTGTGGTGTGACCATGCCCCAGGGTAGGGTGCTTTCTTCCTCTCCCTGTCTTCCTGGCCACTGCATGTGCTCTCTGACAACTGAAAAGAAAAAAAGAAAGGAAAGTAGAGACCAGTATTTGAAAGTAGGCATTTATTCATTTGTCGCTGTCCCCGAGTGGCCGCCTGTAGAGCAGGTACTGGTTAGCTGTGAGGTAGAGTGGGGTGGGAATGCAGGCCCTGATCTTCATTTAGCTTGTAACCTTTCATTTGAGCATCCCTGACGAAACAGGCTGTATAGGTGTCATACTGCCTATGGACAGAATCAGAGGCCCTTCCAGAGCCTTTTTTTTTTTTTTTGAGAGGTTTTCGCTATAGGGCGCGTGTGCTCACCAGACAGACAGACAGAGACATAGAGACAGAAAGCGAGAAATCACCCCCCAGGGGGGATGGCCACACCACAATCCCTTCTCCTCCATTCTCCTCTCGGGATCTTGGGCACGCACGCACATGCGCCTGGCGTGAGTTTAAGCCACCGGGTCTGGGACTCGAACCCCGGTCGACTACGTGGGAGACCAGTGACATAGCCATTATGCTAACTGCTGGTCCCTCTGGAGCCTTTTCTGTGCCTTGTGCTTGGCTTTCTCCTGTGTACATGGCTGTGTTGAAAAGCCCCCTCAATAACTTTAAGGTGCACCCCTGTTAATTGTCACAGGTCTTTAACGTGACTGCAGACCCGTAGGATGCTGGTCGTGGCCACCTTCAGTTTCCACAGCGCGTGCCTGTGAGTTTATTGTCATTGGTTATGCCGCTGCTCTTACAGCACTGCTACAACGCAGTTCCTGTCCTGGGTGCGCCCCCTTGTGTTGCCTGGTCACTCAGTTTCTTGACACAGCTGTGCTAAATAGTAAGAGAAAGCTTTTTACCAATTTTTTCACTTTTTTAGGACACTACTAGTACCAGTGTGAATTAGACTAAAGCCCTCCCTTATGGTGCAGGTAGCTCTTCTGTCCTCGTTAGCAAAGATGTTGTCTTTGGCAGGAACAGTGTTACTCCAGGACCATGCTTTGGGTATCTGCATTTAGCCCTGACTTGTACTCTGAGCTGGTTGTCCCCATATAAGGGATGAACTGGGAGGGTGACATAGCAGCAGTCCTGCCATTTGTTGCTAGGTATGAAAAGACCAGGACCGTCTTTACCTGACTGCTGCCCCTAGTGATAGCATCTGTGCTTTACAAATAATGGATGTCTAAACCGTACTTGAAGTCTTTTATTTTTTGGTTACTGTAGAAATGTTTTTGCAGTTCCAATTTCTTACCAATATCCTCATAGCACAGATTGGATGCTAATCTGCAGTCTAAGGCCACATAGGAGGCCTGAGTTTGATTCTCAATCACCTACAATCCACCCTACAGAACCACTGGTTACTGTAGAAATGTTTTTGCAGTTCCAATTTCTTACCAATATCCTCATAGCACAGATTGGATGCTAATCTGCAGTCTAAGGCCACATAGGAGGCCTGAGTTTGATTCTCAATCCACCCTGCAGAACCACGGGCAGTGCCTTTAGTCCTGTGTACCTGGAAGCCTCAGGCAAGAGGATCATAAGCTTGCAGACAGTGTGGACAACATAGTGAGACTGTCTGAGAGAGCCAGCTGTTGTGGTACCTGTCTGTGGTCCCACCTACTTGGGAAGCTGAGGCAGGGTGATTACAACAGGGCGAGACCCTATCAACCTCCCTACCTATTAGCCCCATACACAAAAGTTAATCATTTTCTTGACAAATGTGGGGGTGTATTTATTAACTAGTTTCACATATACCTGTGTGTGTGGAGGGAGTATATGTGTGTTAGGTTTTTGCCATAGGGTGCTCGCCAGCGAGAGAGGGAGGGAAAGTGATAAATCACCCTTGTAGGGGGAATGGCTATGCTGCAGTCCCTTCTCTTCTGGCCTTCTCATGATTTTGAGCACGCAGAGACATATGCACTCGGCATACTTTTCAAGCCACCGCATCCAGGACGTGAGCTGTGGTCGACCCTGTGGGAATCCGGTGCTGTAATCACCGTACTGCCTGCTGGCTCCATTGTGGTTGTTTATGTTTTTGTTTTGTTTTTGTTTTTGTTTTTAGGTGTTTGCCAGAGATATCGAGAGAGAGGGAATGTGAGAAATCACCCCCTGTGGGGGATGGCCACATTGCATTCCTTTCTCTTCCATTCTCCTCTTGGAATTTTGGGCATGTGTTCACGTATGCCCAATGTTATTTTCAAACCACTGGGTTAGAAACCTGAACCATGGTTGGCCATGTGGGACTCCAGAACCTTAATCACCTTGCCACCTGCTGGCCTCTATTTTTTTTTTTTTTTTTTTTTAAGACAGGGTCTCTCTGTATTGTGATCTGTCTGCCTCAGCTTTCAAGGAGCTTGGGGTTATAGGCCCATGCTACTGTGATTTGGTTTTTCAGGGTGGGCTAGGAATCTAACCTGCGTCCCCCAAGTAGCCTCAGCTTCCTAAACAGAGCATCCAGGATGTACTTCTGTAGCTAGTCTTTTACCAGTTGTTTCTGATCCAAAGTTAATACATATTCTTTTCCTTTTTAAAAAATAATTATATGTTTAATTTCATGTTTTTGTTGTTATTATTATTATTATTTATTTATTTTAAAATTTGACCAGAGAGAGAAAGGGAAAGTGAGAAAGCAAACCATCAGGTCCTGGACTCAAACTATGGTTGGCCATATGGGAGTCAGTTGTCTCAACTATCATGCTACCTGCCAGCTTCACCTTTTCTTTTCTTTTTCTTTTTATGCCAGAAGTGCATACATTCATCCATCACAGAGAGAGAGAGAGAGGGAGAGAGCGAGCAAGCGAGCGAGTGAGCTAGCATTCCCTAGAGAGAGTGAGCATGTTCTAGCATTTCCCCCTGACACACACACGGTGGGACACATGCTGCAGCTCTTTTTCCTCCTTGTCTCCTTTCTATCGGGAATTTGGGCAGCCATGCACATGTGCCTGATGTATTTTGCAGGTCACCTGGGCCTGGATTCGAAGCACAGTTGGCTCTGCAGGCTTCACTTCTGTGCTGTGGGCAGGGGCCATCACTGAGCTCAGTTTCAGACAGGGTCTCCTTATGTTGCTCAGGGTAGCTTTTCACTCATAGCCCTTCTGCCTCTACTGCAAGATTAGTCTTTTTTTTTTTTTTTTTTTTTTAAGGGGGGAGAGGTTTTTGCTTGAGGGCATGAGCACTTGCCAGAAAGACAGAGACAGGGAGATAGAAAGCAAGAAATCATCCCCCAGGTGGGATGGCCATGCCACAATCTGTTCTCCTCCATTCTCCACTAAGGATCTTGGGCATACACACACATGCGCCTGGTGTGAGTTTAAGCCACCAGGACCAGTAGTACTTGAACCGTAGTCAACTACATGGGAATCCAGTGACATAGCCATTACACCAACTGGTCCCAAATTAGTCCATTTTTAAAAAAGATTTATTTATTTAATTCTATTTGTTATTGTTATTTATTTTTAATTTGACTAGACAGAGAAAGAGAAAGGGAAAGCGAGAAAGCAAGCTGCCAGATCTGGGACTTTAAAACCAAGGTTAGCCATGTGGGAATCTAGCACCTTTATCCACCACGCCACCTGCTGGCTGCAGTTAGTGCATTTTCAGTGATAATGTTGATAACATTTTTTCACTACCTGCTTTTATTAGTGAGCACTTACTATGTGCTAAGCATTCAGTAAAGAAACTGAAACTCTAAGGTTAAGACCTAGTGCCTACCTATCTGTAAGTGGCTTACAGATTAAATGAAGGGCACAGATACCTCAACACATGATTTAAATAAAGCATAGTGATACAGAAGTTCCTGGGATACCATGGTATAAGGCATCTTCTTTTCTAGTTGGTTTATGAGTGAGTCCATGACTTAAAATGACTACCCCATAGTTATCATCTGAGAATGGTTAGGGTCAGTGGTTCAGTCCTCGTAAGAACACTCTGCCTTATATAGAGAAACCAGCATTTTCTATATGAATAGTAAAAGCTAACTAGTTCCTCCTCATGAGCTAATTAAATATTTAAACTTGAAGCCTTATTTTAATGTAATCTCCCCCCTCCTGAGTCCTTATTCTCTGGTTCTCTACTGACACAGAGGGTGCAAGGCTGTCCTGGAGCTGTGTGCTAATAAACATTCAGTAGCTGACATTTCAGCAGCAGCTCCACCATGTGCCGGTTCTGGGGTTTAGGGATGGTTACTTAAACTTTTTATCCCTCAGTTTTCTTAAATCAACAAGATGGAAATAATCACATCTGCCTAATAGGGTTGGGAAGAGTAAATGTTTGCAGTTTGAGCTCAATACTTAGCTCACAGCAAGGCTTTGCTGTTGTGGTTTATAGTTAAGCTGGGCCTTAATCTGGTTATTGAATGTTCTGCATATAATAAGCTCCCAGTAGCTTAAGATCTCTCCATCTTCCTTCCTCATTCTTTTTGGAAAAGAAGATGTACAAGAAAACTAATATTGAGTAAAGCATGATAACGTGGAACATTGAGTAATTTAGATGTCATACCATTGGTTACTTTAGTTAAAAAAATCTCCTTTACGTAATCAACTTAGGGATTGGGATCGTGTATAAACTAAGCAGCTACTGTTTTATATTATTTGTAGTAAAAATGAATAATTAATGCGTCTGAGCTTCTGTTGCTTTTTATTTTAATTTTTGGCGTTTAATTACATTTATAATCTCCAGGTGACATTTAGACATGATTCTTCAACGGTGGAAGTTCAAGATGACCACATAAAGGGCCCACTAAAGGTAATTAATCAGTTCATTACTAATGCTAGTGTTGGATTAGAAAGTAATGATTATACTTGGTCATTTCCTTTTACTTCATTGGCTTATTACTCAATTGATGAAATAAATGCAGAGTTTTCTCTAAAAAGATTTATAGATAAAAACAGAAATAATATGAAACAGTGCCTGGTGGTGACAGTATAACTTAACAGTGTTTGGAAACACAAACACCAAGTGTGAGGAATGGGCGGACCACGCAAGAAAATGGAAATATAGAGCCTTTATTGGGAGCACTCCCAAGTGAGGTTCGCTGGTCCGACAGAAAGGGAGAGAGAGGGAGGGAGACAGGCCACAGAAATTGTTTGTTAGGGCAGGGTTCAGTGATTTTTATAAGGGTATAGGGAGAGGGAGCGTCTTAGAGGTAGAAACAGTCCGTGTAAGGTAAAGGTTTAGGGGGAGAACAAACTACTGTGCACGTAAGGTCTGGTGCCGTGTGCAGAGTAGAGCCCGTGTGCTACATCCGACTTAGATCCGAGTTCAGCGCAGTCAGATGACAGACTAGGTCCGGGTTGTATCTGCCGAGTGTGGCATGGCGTTCCACCCCCACATCCAACCTGCCCAGACCTCCGGCCTAACCCAAGACTGCTGTCACTCACTCCTCTGCTCAGTCCTGCATGTGTCTGTTATAAAGGTAATGATTTCCCAGGAGCAATGGGTGATGAACTCGGCTTCAGTGAGCTAGCTTCCAAGTGGGTCTCTAAAATGAGAAGGTTAGAAGACTAGAACTCAGAGCTCGTACTTCTTTAGGGTAACTGATGCCAAGTGAAGTCTTTGATGGGCTGTCAGGCAACTGTCAGTGATGAGCACATTCCTACTAACAGAGAGTTTTCTTTGTATTTGTTCCTTACTGGCGAGTGAAATCGGTGTTGCTGTGCTTTCTACCAGTGAGCAAACTGTGGCGTTGCGGGTGCCCTGTGTGCTCTTTGGTGCTGATTTTCAGTGTCTGGAAGTGGGCATTGCCTTAGAATCATTGGAACTGTTAACAGAATTGAAGAAACTTCTGTAGATGTACGAATCCATTGCTCGTGACGCTGTAGATTTTGGAGAGTTAGGTGTGTGTATCTGCCAGTTTTTGTTTGTTGAGTTTTAAAACCCTTAATTGGGCCCCCAGGGCAGTAATACCCTCCCTGTGCAGTACCTGCGTGGAGTTGGTGGGTTGTGTGTTTTAAATACTGCTTTGTAACAGTTATTTCCTCCTGTTTCTATGTGGTGGGTACTACCTCTAGTGTCCCACAGAGGCAGAAAGGCAACCGTGTTCAGTTAGGCAGGATGTCAGCCATGGTTTACGTAGTGTAGACCGTGCTGAGTTTGGCTCCTCGTAACAGCCCTTTTCAGAAGAGGAGCGCGAGGGAGTAAAGTAATCGGGCCATAGTCTCAGGGCCACAAGGGCAGAACAGAATTTGACAGATGGTGGTCTGTGATGGGAATTCCGGGGCCTGTGGGTGTCCAGCATGCGGAGTCTGTGTCCGGAAGCGGGGGGACAGGGCTCTTTGCCTGACTGGCCCACAGATGCCAGCTAACTGCTTTATGACAAAGGAAAGGGTTAGAAAAGGCAGTTACTTTGTATCCTCTTGTCCAGCTCTGTCTCCTGCTACTGCCTCAGCCCCTGGGATCATGGCTCACTGGGTTCATTTTGCCTGTTTGTTTTTTACTACTGTATTAAAATTGCCCTTGTGCATGATTAAGACTTCAGACCCTTTGGTGTTATTTATTTTAAAGGCAAGCTCTCCATGTTGCAGTTGTACTGTCTCAGCTCCCGCTGGGACTATGGGCATGGCCGTCCCCTCGCTCGTTTCTGTAAGGGGTCCCATGTGGCTCAGGCAGCTGTCCGCTCAGTCCTCCTGCCTCAGCCTGTGACCGTGTTGTCAGGGTTACATTGCATGCCACTGTGCTGGCCTTTAGATTGGGCCAGGGATTGAACCTGGACCTCCCATATAGTCCTAGCCTGTAGAGCACAGGCCACCGTGACTGGGCCATTTTCATGTTTACATAGGCAGGGGATCCGATTTTCTTCTCAGAATTACTCAGATGTCTTTCTTGTCTGTGGGTTTTTTCCCCTGTAGATTTTGATTGTTCCGTAATGTAGCAGTCCCCAACATTTTAGGGGTTGGTTTTGCGCAAGACCGTGGACCGCGGGTAGGGGAGTAGAGAGGGGTGAGGCGGTTGGTTTCGGGATGATTTAAGCACATTGTGTTGTTGTACACTTTATCTCTATTATAATTACATTGTAGCATATGGTGACATAGTTATAGGCTCACCATAGAGCAGGATGCAGCCATTCCCCAGCAACAGTGGCAGTGCCTCAGCTGGACCTCAGCTCACCAGGCATTATCTCATAAGGAGTACGCAAGCGGTCTGGTCCCTCCCAAGCACAGTTCCTGGAAGGCTTTGTGCGCCTATGAGATAGCAGTGCTGCTGCGATCTGACCGGAGGTGGCGCTCAGGTGGCGCTCAGGCACCAAAGCCAGGGATGGGGAGTGGCCGCAAGTACACACGGAGATTCACTCACTGGCTGCTACTGTCTTCTGCCTAAGGCCTGGTTCCTCAAGGCCCATGGACTGATTTCAGTCTGCAGTCTGCGGCCTGGGGCTTGGGGACCTGCCCTAATGTACTTCATAGCTCTCTATCAGCTGATAGAAAGTGTCAGCGTTTGGATAAATGTTTCTTTCAGAGGAAATTAATCTACCAGAAATGATTGTTATTTGATTTAAATACATTTTTATTTATTGAGCTTACATGAAAATAAGTTCTAGGCCATTTGACTATTACATAAAAATATTATAGCATGTGCTTATTGACAGTAGTCATTTAACAAAAATTTTGGTAATTTTCTGAAGTTCTTTTTCCCTTTAGAGCATTGTGTTGGACTAACAGTCTCTTTTCTGAACAGGTTTGTTTTCTTCATCACGATAAAGACCATATAAGTGTAATTATTAGCATTTTCTTAATCCGATGGAAAATATTTCAAATGGCTCGTTAGTGGTACATTCTAGCCCATACGGAAACCTCAGAGCTAGTTTGTAAATGTGCCTGTTTTCCTTGGCCTCCTTTAAAGAGGAGATACAGGCCAGGACAGTCAATTTCATAGACGGTGGTTCTTAGTGTATGATCTGACAACTCATTTTAGGAGGGCTGCATAAGGGCTGACCTGTTTTTTGTTTTTGTTTGTTAGAGAGAGATGTCTGCTATGAGGCGTGTGCACTCCCCAGTGAGAGAGAGAGACAAAATGAGAAGTCATCCCTCGGGGGATGTCTGCGCTGCATCCCTTCTCCTCCATTCATTCTCCTCTTGGGACTCTGGGCACGCACACATGTGCCTAAGCCCCTGGGTCTGGTACTCAGACTGTGGTGACTGTGTCGGAGTCCAGTGACATAACCACTGCCGTCCGCTGGTCCTAGGGCTGGCCTGTTTTAATAGCAATGCCTGATGCATTTGCCTTTCTCACTCTGCTGGTACCTCTGCTAATGCATAGATTCCATCCGGCAGTGCTGAGCGAAATTACCGGCATCTTAAAACAAGTCAGTAGTTTTGGTTTTACTTTTGTCTTCTTTAATTTATTTATTTAGGTATGAGAAAAAAAGGAAAGAGAGAGAGACAGAGAGAAATATTTTTGACAGTCTTGTGTTGTGATCTTCCTGCTTCAGCCTCTGGTCTAATTCAGACTGTAAGTACTCATAGCCCAGTGTTCAGGTGGGCTGGGGAATGGAGCCTGGGCGCCCTCTTGTGACGTCCGGCCTCACAAGCAGTGACTCTATTTGCCATTGCTGCTGTTCCACTTGTTAATTTATTCTTTACCCTTATACACAGAGTTTAAAAAAAAAAAAAAGACCAGGTTTTGGTTTGTAATTTATCTTTTATAAGTATTTTTTAAACTTGTTTTTAATACCTAGGTAGGAGCTATTGTAGAAGTGAAGAACCTTGATGGTGCATATCAAGAAGCCGTTATCAATAAATTAACTGATGCGAGTTGGTATACTGTAGGTAAGAATGGCTTTTCTTTTAAAAATAAATTTTCAGTGATACAGATAAAATTGATCTTAATACAAGTAATATGGAATTTTTTGATTCATTTCCTCCTCGATGGCATGGATATTATTAGTGTTACTGGCTTTTCTCTTCCCACATCTTTTAAAAACTTTCTTCATAAATATATGTGTATATAATGAATTTGAAATTATTGTTTATCTCATCCTAATAGATTTCTAGTTTTTTGTGCCAGAGTATGAATATCTTAAATTTTAGTTTTCATCTTTTTAACTTTTTTTTTCCCCTTAATTTTTGCTGTAGGGCATGTGTGCTTGCTGAAGACAGAGACAGAGAGGGAAATGAAAAAGCACTCCTCGTGGAGGCGGCTGTGCTGTAGTCCCTTCCCCTCCGTCCTCCTCTTGGGGTTCTGGACACGTACATACACACATGCCCAGTTTTTCAAGCTTCCATGTCTGAGACTCAAATCATGCAGACAGCCATGTGAGATTCATCCGCCTTAACGTCCACGCCATCTTCTAGCCCCTCTCAGTCATTTTTTATTTTTAAATGCTCGATCTTTCTTTCTTATTGAATTAATTAATTTATAAACAAATAAATAAATGACACAACCAGAGAGGGTCAGATGAGAGCGAGAGAGAGAAAGAGATAAAGAAGGCTGCCAGGTCTGGGACTTGAACCACTGTTGGCCATGTGGGAGGCCAGCGTCCTTAGCCACCATGCCACCTGCTGGTCCCTCTCAACCATTTTTAAATGTATAATTTAATAACATAGTTGATGTATTGTTGTTTATTTTCTTTCACTGAAAACAGTTACCAGTTTTCGAGCTATGATAATAAATGCTCCACTCTGGGACCAGCAGTTGGCATAATGGCCATGTCGCTGGACTCCCATGTAGTCGACTGTGGTTCGAGTCCCAGACGCGGTGGCTTGAACTCACACCTGGCCCATGTGCGTGCGTGCCCAAGATCCTGCGAGGAAAATGGAAGAGAAGGGATTGCGGCATGGCCATCCCCACTGGGGGTGTGATTTCTCTCTTTCTGTCTCTCTCTTTCTGTCTGGCAAGCGCACATGTCCTATAATTAAAACCTCTCCCAAAAATAAACAAACAGACAAACAAATGAATTAATTAATGCTGCGCTGCTCACACAATGTCTGAATGTTTCTCTAGCTTACACCCTGAGAAACAGATCTACATAGGTTGAAGGAAAATGCACTTTTACAACCTTATTAGTTAATGAGAACTACCTTCCTAAAAATTGGATCAGTTTATTCTCCTGTTAAAACTGCATATGACTTCTTCCCAATTCTTGTTAGATTAGTGTTACTAGTTTTTAAAAATTTTTGTCAATTTTGGGTCAGCTGGTGGCATGTTGGTGAAGGCAGCTGGATCCCACATGGCCAACTGTGTGGTTTGAGTCCTGGACATGGTGGCTTGGAAAACAAGCTGGGCGCACATGCATGCACGTTCAAAGTCCTGGGAGGAGACGAGGAGGAGAAGGGACTGCAGCGTGGCTGTCCCCCCGTAGTGCTTTCTCACTCTCTCTCCAAGGAGCACACGTGTCCTAGAACAAGAATATTAAAATGAAAAAAAAGAGGAGCACATGTGCCCTAGAACAAAAATATTAAAATGAAAAAAAAGAGGAGCACATGTGCCCTAGAACAAAAATATTAAAATGAAAAAAAATTTGTTTTGGCCAATGTGCACACAAGCTAGCGTGTCGATTTTGTCTGCGCCCCTCCTGTGAGTGCCAGTGTGGCAGCGTCTTCCTGCACCCCTGCTGGTTTGTGTCCCTTCATTGAGAGTGGCTGGCTGTCCTCATTCCGCCCCGTCCTCCCTGACATGCCTTGCCTATTTCTGATCTTTCAGGACAGGAATTCTTCTCGTTTTCTGGGCACTCACCTTTTCCTACACTAGTCGCAACGGTTTCTCCTGCTGCTTCCCTCTTCTCTCTGCTTCCAACTTGCGTGGAGCCAGTTTTTGTGTGGTCAGCCCCCTTTGCTTCTGTTGGTTTTGTTTTGAGTGTTGTTTAAGGGCCTTTCCTCCACTGTGTTTTAAAGCCATTTTTTGATTTATTCTTCATTTCCTTTATAGTTTTTATTTTGTTTTATCTAAAATTCTTTTTTTCTCCAAAATGCTCTGAAGTGATTTTAGATTATTTTTTTCTAATTGGTGGCCAGTTATTGAGATCTGTTAACATTATTTGAAATAGAGTTACTCTGTTTTCATGATTTCTGAGTAATGTATATCCCAAAATTACATGTTTTCTAAAAATACATACGTATCATATATCTTAAGAAAACTGTAAATTTAAAATGTTAACCATTAATTGAGGTGACACCTCTGCCATCGGATCATGGGGAACCACGAACTTTGTACACTTTTTTTTGTTTTTTTGAGAGGTTTTTGCTATAGGGCGCGTGCACTCACCAAACAGACAGAGAGAGACAGAAAGCAAGAAATCACCCCCCAGGGGGGATGGCCAAGCCCCAATCCCTTCTCCTCTATTCTCCTCTCGGGATCTTGGGGACGCATGCACACGTGCCCAGCATGAGTTTTAAGCCACCGGGTCCGGGATGCGAACCACGGTCTACTACGTGAGAGTCCAGCGACATAGCCATTACGCTAACTATTGGTTCCCACCTCTGCCATCTTTTTGTAGACAGTTTTAAGGCATGAGGTCCGTAGTTTTCAGTTGGGAATTAATCTGCACCCCCTGCCCTGCTGTTCGGCAGTGTCTTCATGTTTTCCCACTCTTTGGAAGAAGCTTTGCTGCTGGCATCTAGTGGATGACCCAGGGATGCCGCTGAACATCCTGCAGTGCCACGGCCTGGTCGCCAGTGCAACATGTCGGTGGCGCGGGGTCGAGGAGCCTGGCTTCAGATGGTGGCTGACGGCACAGTCCTCGTTCATGGGCCGCCTCGCTGTATATGTTTATAATCTTGCTTTTGTTTCTTCAGTAAATCTGCGAGTATTTGTCAGCAGGGAAACTTGCCTTCCTTGTAACGTTTTGAATAAAGTTAGTTAACATTTCAGTGATTTCTTCCTGAAATGCCAAGCTCTTATTTTTATTTCCTTTTCCAAGGAAGATTTTTATTTTTTTTTTAAGATGGATTTTTTTTGCTATAGGGCATGTGTACTCGCTGGAAAGACAGAGACAGAAAGTGAAAAGTCACACCCTAGGGGGATGGCCACGCTGCAATCCTAAATCCTGTCAGGATTTGGGGCATGCACACACACACACATGCCTAATGTGAGTTTCAAGCTGCTGGGTTGACTATGTGGGAGTCCAGAGATGCAACCATTCTGCCATCTAAGATGTTTTCATTTCAGTCTTGTCTTGTCTTGTCTTGTCTTTTTTCTTTTCTTTTCTTTTTTTTTTTCTTTTCTTTTCTTATCTTTTTCCTTCCTTCCTTCCTTTCTTCCTTCCTTCCAAGAGTTTTTTTCCTGTAGGCTGCATGTGCTTGCTGGATAGACTGAGAGACCAAGAGACAGAAAGTGAGAAATCACCTCCCAGGGGGGTTGGTCGGGCTGTAGTTCCTTCTCCATTCTCCCCTTGGGACTTTGGGTATAAGCTGCCAGGTCTAAGACTTGAACCACAGTTGACTCTGTAGAAGTCCAGTGATGTAACTGTCACACCATCTGTTGGTCCCATTGCTGTTTTCTTTCGTTTTCACTAAAAATTGGAAGAGATACTCTAATGAGTCTTGAAGGTATTTAGTAGAAAGCATTTGGAACTGAATTGTAAATATAATCTTAAAACAGCAGGTTTGTTTGCATGTATTAATAGAAAATTGAAAGATAATTTATATTATTTTGTTATCCTCTGTAAAAAGTCTCTCAGCAGCGTCCACTTTTACCTCCTCTCACAGTGTTTGACGACGGAGATGAAAAGACACTGCGGCGGTCTTCACTGTGCCTGAAAGGAGAGAGGCACTTTGCTGAGAGTGAAGTAAGTCGGCGTTTAGCAAGTGAGCGCGTCTTTGTATTTTGTCATGGGGGAAGTAAATTTATGACTTTGCAACTCGGGAAACTTGCTTGAAAACCAGGAAAACACATCAATACGTAATACTTTTGCTGTGTAATTTGCCAAGCCTATTTCAGGCTGTCTGTTAAACATTTATTTTTTATCTTCTCTTTGTTGCGATTTTCGAGGCACTGGGTCTGAGACTCAAACCGTGGTCGGCCATGTGGAAATCCAGCACCTTAGCCACCACTCCACCTGCTGGTCCCCGGGCCTTGTGTTTGAAACCCTTTCCTTCCTCTTCATTCTTCATCGTGTCCCTGAGCACTCTCTGACATCAAGTAGTCCTTGTGCTTAGCCCCGGTTTTTGTCTGCCTGCTCACTGGGGCGTGATGCAAGGACAGCAACTCTGCGTGTCACCCTCACTGCTGTTTCCTGGTTCCTGTGACAGCGCGTGTCCCATGGGGAGTAGAGTAAACGTTTGTCAGATGAATAAGTGCGGTGCTTCTGTTTGCCAGGGACTTTGCCGGCTGCTGCACAAACATTTTTGCGTTTGTAGCACAGGAGGTAGTTGCTGCTATTACTTCCAGTCACAGTGAGCCTGCTGGCCAGAGCCGGTGCTCAGACGAGTGCTTGCTGGCACTGTAGCCATGCTCTGAAGCTGGGGAGTGTTGTGACAAGTGGGGAGTGCATTAAGTTTTGTGACTCACAAGGAGGCAGTTCAGAATTTTTCTTCTTTTTGAACGTTTTTGCTGTAGGGTACGTGTGCTCACCAGAGAGACAGTGAGAGGGAAAGTGAGAAGTCACTCCCTAGGGGGGATGGCCACACTGTAGTTCTTTCTCCATCCTTCTGGGATTTGGAGCATGCACGCACATAGGCCCTGTGTGATTTTCAAGCCACTGAGTCTGAGACTTGAACTGTCGCTGGCCACGTAGAGTCTAGTGCCTGAACCACCACACCCATCTACTTGCCCCCAGAATTTTGATGCGTACACATTGTAAATGATGTTACCGTCTCTGGTACAGTCTATAGATAGTTATTGAATTAGAGTGTGGCTGAGTTATTATTTTTATTTTTCTGGTTATTATTTAGAACCCTGTATTTTTAACTTAATTGTTAGACTTCATGCTTTTTTAGTTTTGAAAATAATTTTGCTCCTCTTAATTGAAAAATTAACAGAAAAAAGGGAGGAGGGAAGTGCTTTCTTGTAGGCCACGGTCACACTACAGTCCGTTTAAGTCTAGATTGTGGGACAGGTTCTCTGTGTTATGACTGCCTGCTTTCAGCTTCATAATGTACTGTGCCCTTCGCTGCGCCTTACTAGGCCAAGTGCTGTTTCCAGATTAAGGCTCATGCTTTTCTTTCTTGACCCTTCTCTGCCTTTTGGAATCTTCTTCATTTCTTAAAACCCCTGGAAGTGCTTCCTCGTCCATGCTGCCTTTCAAGAGCTCTCTAGCAGGGTTTGATCTCTTTATCTCTTGGTCATTTTGCACTTCTTTTGCACGTCCTTTTTTTTTTATTGTATTTTTATTACTTTTTTTTTGGGGGGGGAGAGGTTTTTTTTTTTTTTTTTTTTTTTTTGGGGGGGGAGGTTTTTTTTTTTTTTTTTTCTTTTTTGCTATAGGGCACGTACGCTCGCCAGACAGACAGAGAGAGACATAGAGACAGCAAGCGAGAAATCACTCCCCGGGGGGGATGGCCACGGCGCAATCCCTTTTCCTCTCGGGATCTTGGGAATACACACACATGCGCCCAACGTGAGTTTTAAGCCACCGGGTCTGGAACGTGAACCGCGGTCGACTACGTGGGAGTCCAGCGACACAGCCATTACGCCAACCGCTGGTCCCAGTATTTTTATTACTTCTAGTGTAATGTCTTAAGTGACTTTAGGTGAGTAGCCGTGTTTTCCTCACCTTGATAAAGGCACTTGTCCTCACCAGAGACAGACAGGAGAAAGGGAGGAGAGGAGGTGCTTTCTCGTAGGCCACTGTCACACTACAGTCCCTTCTCCGCCCCCCGTCCTGTTGTGAGTTTGGGCACGCACCTGGTGTCCACTGCTCTTTCCAAGCCATGGAGACTGGAATCCTGACTGTGGGATTCAACTCTCTTAACCCCCAGACCATAAGGCCAGCCCGGCAGTGTTTTCTTCAATAAATACGTGTTGAATTAATTGCAAACTTTGTGATTATAGGAAGTATAGGCAGTTTCGGGGCAAGTATAGTGAAGTTACAGAATCTTCTCTGAACTTATGTGATTATTATAAATATTCAGTCGTCAGGAAAGTCAGGACACATTTTTGCACAGACAAATTTTATTTCCCTTATGGAGAACACATGTAGAGTTATATTGAGTCCTATAGGGGCTTGAAGACTTGAGTTTTCACCTAAGTGTAGGCAGGCATCTTGTTTGGTTCAGAGAAATACTAATTTTGTTCTTACTAGGAGAATTTATTTTAATTAATCTCAGTTTTTAAATTACCAGATGGCGCATGCACTTGCTAGAGAGAGAGAGGGAGAAGGTACCTACTGGGGCGTCGTCTTGTTGAGTCCCTCTTCCTCCCTTTTCCTCCTCCTGGCAGAGGTCGGGGCATGCATGCACATGTGCCTCCATGTTCTTCAGGGCACAGGGACTGGGCTTTTCTGTTCACTGTTAGCCACGTGGGACTCCGTTCCCTTAACCACCAGGCTATGAGGCCATCCCACTGAGAAAGCTGTAAGTTAGAATAGCTCTTAGGACAGTCGTCGTGTGATGTTGGAGGTCATGTGAGCAGGTCGCAGGTAGTCCGATGTCTCCTTTGGCCCTTTGAGGAGGGCCAGTGTTGCTCACGTGTGTCTGTGGGTGCACATGTTGGCTTGTTTGGCTTGTGGACATTGGAATGCTGCTGCATGCTTCTTTGCCTCTCTGCCTGTGTACCTGGCATTGTGCTGGGTAGTGGGACCCCAGGGCGGGCCCTTGAGATGCCGGCTTTGTCCTTGCATAAGGAGAAAAGCCACTAATGAAACAATCAAAGATACTTTAACATGGAGTGTAGTGAGGCCTGGGAAGAAATGACCAGGAATGTACAGAACCTCTATCTTCCTTCACCTTTATTTGATATTTTTGATTAAAAGTTTTAATTTTTTTAATGATTTTCTTCTTAATTGCTAGAAGGTGTATATACTCTTGGCAGAGAGTGAGAAAAAGCACCCTAGTGAGCGTCCATGCTGCAGTCCTTTCCTCCCCCAGCCCGTCAGGACCCAGGCACACCGCTGCTCGGGGTGTCCCGACTGCAGGGCTGGGTGTGCGCCGCACTTTCCTGTTTGGGGTCCTGTTCCTTGTTCACGGTGCCTAGGTGCCTAATCACAGCTCGGCCGGTCAGGCCCAGGTTTAGGTTTGGAAAAGCTGTTCAGAGTTTTGTCAGTATTCCTAGTAACTGTGGCTTTGGGGAGCGAAGCCACATCTATAGACAGAATTTGTTTCACTAACCCCATCAGTAAGCTGTAAACTAAGCTTTGTTCTCTTATTTTGGTCAGAGGGCACACACACTTGTCAGAGACAGAGGGAGAGGGAACAGACAACCTCAATGGGAGGACATGGTCGTGCCATAATCCCCTCTCCCTTTCTCCACCCTTCCAGGATTTTAAGCATGCATGTTTACGAGCCCAGCACGCTTTCAAGCGCCAGGGCTGGGATTCCAGTCATTCGGTCAGCCACCTGGGATCCGACTGACGTCTCCACCAGGCCATGTGTCTGACCTTAAACCAAGATTTAAAGTCAAGATTTTCACGTTAAAGATCACAGCAACACTTTAGTCAGTGCACTCTCCAACACTGAGCTCTCAGGTTCCAGCTTACGAGTAGGCTGCATGCTGCCTGCCATCTTCAGGAGAGTTTGGGTATTTCCACAGAGTCCATAATCGGAATATTATCCAAAAGCAGACTCCACATCTGATATTCTCGGTGTGCATTTGCTACATGAGTGTGAAACTGTAACAGCCACAGGCAGGGAAAATCCCATGCACTCTCCAACACTGAGCTCTCAGGTTCCAGCTTACGAGTAGGCTGCATGCTGCCTGCCATCTTCAGGAGAGTTTGGGTATTTCCACAGAGTCCATAATCGGAATATTATCCAAAAGCAGACTCCACATCTGATATTCTCGGTGTGCATTTGCTACATGAGTGTGAAACTGTAACAGCCACAGGCAGGGAAAATCCCAGTTCCGTATTCCCTGCAGCCCATGTTAGGAGATGGCTATGGACACTTTCTTTCCGAGATTGTGAACTTCTCATTGTGCCTTTGATATAGCTTCCAGAAGTCACTCGTAACACCCCTGCCCTACCCCCCAAGGGACTTCTGACCTTTGAAGTGAAGATGCTGTCCTTTGCTGGACTTGTACGGAGGTCCTGCGTAAAAGCAGACTCCACATCTGATATTCTCGGTGTGCATTTGCTACATGAGTGTGAAACTGTACCAGCCACAGGCAGGTAAAATCCCAGTTCCGTATTCCCTGCAGCCCATGTTAGGAGATGGCTATGGACACTTTCTTTCCGAGATTGTGAACTTCTCATTGTGCCTTTGATATAGCTTCCAGAAGTCACTCGTAACACCCCTGCCCTACCCCCCAAGGGACTTCTGACCTTTGAAGTGAAGATGCTGTCCTTTGCTGGACTTGTACGGAGGTCCTGCGTGAGCGCCCTTCCCCAGCGCCCCCTGCCCCCCACGGTGTGGTCACACTGCAGCCTGAAGCTCTGAGTGAGAGGAAGCACACCAGGCTTGCCTCCTGCTCCAAGACGTCATGACCTGCTGCCAAGTCTCGTCATCCTAAGTTACTGTGTGTGATTCTGAAATAGGTCCTTCTTTCTGTCTCTCTCTCTGTGTCTTCCTGGCGAATGCTCGTGCCCTATAGCAAAAACTTCTCTTAAAAGAGAGAGAGAGAGAGAGATCCAGAAAGTGAATCGTGAATCAGATTCACTTATTTCCCTTGTTTATGAAATACGTACTTAGAAAT